AGTTTTGATTTTGATTTACAGAGTAGAGGGAAAAACTTGTTTGTCAAACAAGTGGCATAAATATACCAGCATGGGTTGAATTGTGTTGGGTTTGTCAGTTTAATTAGCGACATGCATGAGTGGTACAGCATCTGTAACACACACGCATGCACAAAAACAAACGCTGGCGGCACCTCATGGGCTCACAGCAGCCTTGTGGTTGGTGATATGAAGGGAGAGGAGCACCTAAACCGCATGAGATGAAGATGTCTCGGCATTAATACCAAGCAAGGCATCCATAAAAAGTGGAGTAATCATTTGACCGGGCTGTGGCACTGTCACACTAACATACACACACGCACACACACACAAAACTGTGAACACGCTATCACCTTCATGCCGCATCAAAGATGGCGTCTTGGTGGAAGCGTACAGCTTGTCAAATGTGCAGACGTACACTAAAGAAGCCAGTAAACACGATCAAACTGTCGATGTTTGCTGCACAGATCTATTTCATTTGACTTGGTCCCGCAACTTGTGTGCTCCCGCATATTTAGACGAGGCAGGCAAATATAAGCAATTCCCCAACGGCTGCAGCTGAGTGGCAGCTATTTGAAAGTTTGTATTGTTTCTTTACCTCTTCTGATGTTGCTATGACAACTTGAAGGCAACAGGAAATGGGGGCGGGGGTCGGCTGCTACACAAAAAAAAAAAAAAGAGGAAAAATCAACCATACGGCAGTGGTTGTGATTGGTTAGATACAAAAATACATGACGAGGTAGAATGCAAAGCTCGAACCCAAGCCAGGATGAAGAAAAGCTTTGGCATCTTTATCACTACAATGCAAGGCACGTTGTGTCAAACCTCCACACCATTCATGATCCAGGACGTTAGAAAAATAAAAACCGATACACGGATGACAGGGAAAAAGACGTTGGGACCACAGACCAATACAGGAAAGGCGTGAGGTGAGAGCAATGCCAGGAAGGCATAGAGAAAGAAACACTCTTGCAGGGAAGACGTGAGGGGAAATAACCAATATAGGGAAGGCACTGGGGAATAGAACAAAGCCCAATGAAAACAATCAATCAGACCAACACAGGGATGACATTCGGGAGAAAAAAACTAATGCTGAGATACTGTAAAATTGGGTTGGACTCAATGGAACAGTTTTACTTGCGGAAAGGAGTCATTTTGTGACCATTGGAAGTTTTATATCTGATTGAATAGCTGACATACGGGGGACCTCAAGGGTCACTTCTTAGACCCTTTTTGTTTAGTCTGTTTGTGCTACCGTTGGGTCAAATTCGAGAGAATTTTAATGTTGACTATCATGGCTATGCAGATGATATATAATTGTGTCCCAAGATGACGAGAGCTCGTTTGAGGTGTTGTGTCGCTGTCCAAAACAAATAATGAACCAAAATTTCACAAATAAAACAGGTAATTTTTGGGGATCTGTAAAAATTGCTTGCTTTTAGTCAAAAACTTTAGTTGTCTTTTGGATGAAATATTGAAGCTTGCATTAAAAATTTTTGCGAGCGGCACACACATTACTGGGGACATTCACTTGAGAGAGACAAAAACGATGGAAGAATAGCAATATGGAAAAATGATATGGGGAAAGAAAGCGAAAGGCAAACCCTCTGTACAATATGTCGGTATGATAACAGTGCAGAGTTCTTCTGTCACAAAAAAAGAAAAAGACATCTGCTCTCACTGTCACAATCAAAATGTAGATAGCATGCATTTTTCACAGGGGACAGGATAGGGCGGAAGCGGCTTACTCTTATCAGTCCATTCTCTCAGCCAGGACACTTCACATCCACCGCGACAGGACAGCCAGAATGTCACACTGGTTCTGTATTACGACTTGCGTGAAGGATTCGACACAGAGAGGTGACAGGGATATGATAAGGGGACAAATGCTGCTCCAGAACACTGCTGAAGGTGGTCCCCAGGGGGCACTGCGGACCAATTGTTCTTCGTTCAAGTGCGGGCTCATGCTCTGTCAATATTTGAATTTCTCTGTTCAGCGTTTGAGAAAGGTTAAGATTGTAAGTACAACGGCGCAATTTAATGACTCTGAGTTCCTTTAAAATTATGGCATTTAAATGTATTTTCATACAAAATAATACAAACTAATACATTGGGTTGCCAAACACTTTTCTAAATACAAAGATGCTTTACAAGGAGTCAAATGAAATTATATTTCATGTATTATTAGTCTTTTCATGCACCCTGTAACCTGATAACATGACAAACTGTCCACTGTAGTTACCGCTGTCCCTGAAAGGGTTACAACAGTGTCCCCCGCCTACTGCCCAAAGACAGCTGGGATAGGCTCCAGACCCCTGTGAGGAAAAGCGCATCAGAAAATGGATGGATGGATATTATTTTAATATAAATATTATTTTTGACATTAGTTTAAATTCAACATTCTATTTAATAATATCTCAAATATGCATACATCCATTAATCACCGGTGTAACAATTATTTTGAATTAGTTTGAATATTGAAGCGGCAGTACCAACCGGTCGACCACCGTGCGGCCTACATTTTGCCCCTCATACCGAAATAAGGCAACCAAAATAAAACCTTTACATTTAACAATGTTGATTTGACAAACAACTGTTTTGTTTTGTTTTTTTTTCCCAGCCCGCGAATATGACATACTTTCACGAGCAATTATAAGATACCCCTGTGTATTCTTTGTGGGAGTCTACATCCATATATTTCTAGCAGAGAGGTGGGGTGGTGGTGGTTTGGGGACTCAAATAAATATAAGTTTGTTGAGAGCTCATTTGACAAGGAGCAGAACAGGCTATTACTTTATTTTGTGCCATTTAAGTTGTTTTTATTTCATCCTCCCCGGTTTCATCCAGCAGATGCCGGTGTGTCTCTGGGGAGAATAACAATAATGCAGGCCGGACAAAACAAGACAGACTGCTCTAACCAGTTTAGAGTGTTACATGCAGTCTGAGTGGATATATGGGGACGAAGTAATCCCCTCAACGAGTTTTGACTTGAACCCTTGTCAAATGCTGTGACTAAGTCAGCACAGGGTGCTGTTTGAAATACATACAGTATATGGGAGGGTCACAAACCACTTACACCGTGGGAATATCATCACATGTGCTCTTTCTTCATTTTAATATCAAATTAAATCCGGAATATAATATATGACAAGATAAGAAATCCTTTATTAGTCGTGCAAAGGAGAAATTTCCAATTCACAGCAGCAAAGTTATGAAAGGAAGAAGTATATATATATATATAGGATGCAATTCTGAGCACACATCGTATTTTTTCTCTGACAGGCATCGCCATGGAAACTATTCCGCAGGTCAACTTAGAAATGAGGCTGACTGAGAGGAAACTACTCAAAAAGCTGAGATGATTCACACCAGACTGGACTCCCTACTCCCAGATATATTTCAAAAACAAGATGACAATTGTTGTTTTTTTTTTGGGGGGGGGGGGCGGTTGTACTTTGAGGTGAATAATACACAGTCATCAGAGCAGAGCTGTTCTCTGTAAGAAAGTCATTTCATGGCTTGGCCCGTTTCCTCAAAAAGAAATAAATAACTTCTATTCTAGTCTCGCACACAGATGGGGCATTAAACTTTGATAAAGATGATGCAAGAAAAAAACAGGACCATTATATTTGTCTTTAACTTATCCAATTCCATTAAATGTGAACATCTGGTAAGATCAGGGTAAATGATCATGTATAGCATCATAGTGGAATGTATTCTGGTTTCTATTTTTGTAATTAAAAAAAAGAACTTTTTGAAATCATTTCTTTTGTCATTTGTGCAGCCTTTTTTTTTTTTGGCTACATTTTTTTTGGGGGGGGCACATTTTCTTCTGGGGCAAAACACACGCATTCAACAATTAAGATTGTTTTCCTGTGACTTAACACATAGCCAGCAAAGCCAATCCAGGTTTAAACAGATGCGGGCAATGTCCAGAAACTTCCCTCTGCTCGTCCATTTTCCCGTGACTCATTTGAGGAAAATAACCTACCGAGTCATTCGACAGTTTGAGGGTGTCAAATAAAAGTGGGCTAAGATTGTTTACCCAAGTGGAAATCCTTTAGGCAGGCATTTAATCTCACACTTCTTGTTTCATTTCTGATGTAGAGTGCTGGAGACAGCCATAGCAGAGAAATACATTTGAATAGGGAAGTACTTGCGTGCGCTCACGCACATAAATTTCAAAGTCCAACTTGAATTTTCAGAATTGAAACGCAAAGAAACGGCAACTTTCCTCTTCCGGTGTGTGTGGTTAACCTCTGTAGCGGGTCTTATAACGTGTGTCGAAATCACCGTCTGTCCAAATATGAGTCACACGCGCGCACACATACACGGATGCACGTCACTGCAGACCGCGAGACCACACAGTCAGCACACGTCTTGGTCTATCTTGCACGTCTTCATGCAGAACAATATTCCATTTCGGACCGCAGACGCTTCTAAACCCCCGACAGATGAAGTCTGCTTTATGGTTCATGCACATAAATATGCATCTGACTCTTTGTAGGATTGGACATGAGAACATGACGCGAAATCAAGGGTGTCAAACTCATTTTTGTCGTGGGCCACTTTGGGGTTACATCTTCCCTCGGAGGGCCTAAATAAATGTTTATGTATTATTACTTGTACACAACAAATTGATGAATTACCAGTTTTGAAATCAGTCGAATCAACTAATAGTTTGTTCAATTATTGTCTGAGTGAGTGTTAACAGGGTAACAAAATGATTGCAAAATCGAAACGCTATTTATTACACATGACAATTTGACATTTCGGTACAAATTTAGCAAGGATCATGGAAGTTGACACGCATCATTTGCTTTCACGGGTGACATAAAATGATGTGGCGGGCCAGATCTGGCCCCCGGGTCTTGAGTTTGACACCTGTGCTCTATATCAATACATTTCGTATCAATACAACCCATTTGCTACACAGTAATCCAATCTATCCATCTGGTGGAACTGCAGTGGGGGAAAAAAAATAAAAAAGGCTTACAAAACCTAACATTTAGAACTGAAGAAGCCTTTTAGATTAAAGGTCAAACGTCTTCAACAAAGAAGAAAAGTCCAGTTGCCTCAAATGAACCTTTGCAGATTACCAGGACACGAATGATTGAGAATCGATCCAGACAACTTGCGACACGGCATGTTGGCCCATAGCAAAGCACACCTACAGAATTGTGTGCGAGCAGTACTTCAGTCCAATCAGTCCCATTGTAAATTAGCTCAACATGTTCCATTCATTATGCATTAATGAATGGAACAGGCGATATACAAATATGATTATACACGACATTATAATATTTGTTCCACTTCTCCCCAGGTGACTGCTCAGTCGTCCGTACTGAGTTTTGTCTTCAGTTGATGATGCTCCGTCCACAAAGACTGACCTGGCTTCCTTTCGGGCGTCTTGGCCCGACGCAGCTTGAGCACCAACGCAAGGATGACCAACAGTGAGCAGAGCGCAACAGCCACAGGAAGGCCGATCCACAAGCCCGAATGACATGCTGAGCGAGCGTCACTCTCTCCTGCACAGACGGTAAAGAGTTACATGACCTCGTCACACGTACGCAGTACATATACATTTTTTTACTCCTCATTCCTATTATGTAATATAATAATAAATTTCAATATATATATATTTTTTTAAAAAACGATACATAGTCGAAAGACACATTTACAGATGGAATAAGCATTTGGAATTATTGTTTCCGTTGCATTTACTGATGCTTTACTCTTTTATTTTGATTCTTTGTCCAATCTATTTTGACCATTTTTTTTTCACATGCAGTATTTCCCAAGTCAAGTTCTTTATGTGGTATTGATATGCAAGGAGTCCTCGAATTGCCATTCTACAGAGGTGACATCACCCAAAATTGTACCAGTCAGACCACACTGTAGTCTAACATCCATCCATCCATTTTCAGATCCGCTTTATCCTCACAAGGGTCACGGGGGGTGCTGGAGCCGATCGCAACTGTCCTCGGACAGTAGGCGGGGGGCACCCTGAACCAATTGCCAGCCAATCGCAGGGCACACAGAGACGAACAACCATCCGCGCTCACACTCACACACACCTAGGGACAATTTGGAGTGGTCCATTAACCTGCCATGCATGTTTTTGGAATGTGGGAGGAAACCAGAGTACTCGGAGAAAACCCACGCAGGCACGGGGAGAACATGCAAACTCCACACAGGAAGGCCGGAGACCGGGATCGACCCACGACCTCTGCACTGTGAGGTCGACGCACTAACCACTTGAACATTGGGCCGCCTGTAGTCTAACAATAACATACAAAAAAAATAATGATAGCTAGTATGTCAGTAACTGAGTTTGTCGTCTTGTGCCACGTGACGATTTATTCTTACGCCACGGGCCATCGGCCATTGCTAAATGGCACTTAGGACTGTCGCGGGCTGAGGACTCCCTGTACACCGGATTTGCTTTCTTGATATTTTTATCTTCAGTCATAGGAAAACAAAAGATTTGCGCTTGATTTTTTTCTTTCTTGTAATTATACGAGTCATGAAGTTACCTTGCGAATAGACGCTGATATTCGAATAGCCGGAACTCTTTACTGCTGCTCTCCTCCAGCCATGGGAGAGAGAAGGGAGCCACTCTTCCACCTCGCAGCAATAAAGACCGCGATCTGAAAGAGTGGGCTTCAACACGGTGAGGCTGAATTGGTTGGGCAAAGCGTGAGCAAATCTCAGCCGCTCTCGTCTCTCAAACCAAAAGTCTTTGAAGGTTGAGTTTCTATACGACGTGAACAAAGCTTGCCGTTTGGTCTCTCTCTTCTCCTGCCAATACCAGGTGACCTGGAACTTGGAATCCAGGCTCGATTGTTGGCTGATGTGACAAGAGATGGTGAAATCCTGTGATGTGCTCACGTTCAACGCCAACTCTTCTTTTCGGACAGACAGGTTGGTGTCTGTCAAAAGTAGCAAAAATGATAAATAAGACATTCTTTAGGTTAACCGGGAAAACTAAATAAAGATTCATCATAAGTCTGCTGGGATGTCGTCTAGCCTGTGGCCATGAATAGGAAAAGTAGGAGAAAATGCCAAATATGCTCCTACCTGTAAATTTCACAGACAATATGATGGGGCCACCATCAGCTGAAGCCTTCTGCTCCCATTGGCCTTCACGCGCAACTTGGTACTGCTCCACCCGACAATGGTACGTCCCACTATCCCCCTCGTGGATCCTCTCAATTTCAAGACCGAAGACGCTCCTGCTGGGTCTGGACAGACGAAGCCTGCCCTGCAGGCCGTGAAGACCCTTGCTCTCCGGATACCTCAGTAGGCCCGTGTGATCAAGCTCCAATAGCGGCACGGCAGAAGATCCAAGGCTGCTGTAGAACCAGGTGACTTTGTAGAAACAGGAATCGCTGGATGCACCCGAGATCAGCTCACAGTTGAGTTGCACTTTGTCGCCTTCTTTTGCAAGGACTCGTTGCTCTTTGTTAGCCAAAAGCAGATCAGTGGCTGCACGAAGGAGAAATCCTAGTTAATCCACAACAAAATAGTGTGGGGTGCATGAAACATAAAAGATCTCACCGGGCTCAATAAGTGTCAGTTGAGTGGTTCCGGAAACCGAGGGGAGATTGTACCATTCGCCACGAGGATCTTGCAGCCACTCCACTACCTCGCACACATAAAAACCTTGATCTGAGATTTGAGAATCCCGAACGGTTAACTCAAACTGAAGCTCCTTAGTTTGCTGCATGCTGATCCGCCGGCTGTGGTCCACTGTCGATGTTACGATGGAGTCTCGATCCGAGGTTAAGACGGTCACGTTTTGGGTCTGTTGTTGCAGAATCCAGGTGACGGCGTAGCGAGAAGATCCAGAGCGAGAGGATTGAACTGAGCATTTTATGGTGAAGTCACTGTTGATATTTGTTGTCAAGGCAGGACTGGGTGTCAGAATGAGGTCATTCTCTAAGAGAAGGTGAGAAAGGGAAGAGGTTTTATCCAAAATGGCTCATGTACTAAGTAAAAGGGATATGGAACCTCATGGAATTTGTTGTGACTATTTTGAAGGGTATTTTCTCCCGTTAAATCATTTTAGACTTTCAGAATGGCCTATTCAGGCCCCTCTGAACATTTTCATAGAACGTCAAGAATTTGGTTACTTTGCTCACACGTAAGCGGACCGATCTCAGTTCGCCTTAACCCGATAATGCCATTTATATCATATTTGATACATGCATTTTCATTATGTAACTCATTCTTTATATTATCGGTACATTAAATCATCTGTATCAAATTTGATACTGCAGGTTTAAAATATGATTTTCCCAAAATTATCATTTTCAGATGTAATCTACATAATGCTTATTAATGTGATACGACAAATATCTAAAACAACATGATATGGCAAAAATATTTTTGTGGATTTTGTTATCAGGGTTAATGAACATCTCAGTTCCCAAAAATCAGATTTTTCTGGCTATTCCTTGATGGGTCAGGCATTACAGGGTTTAAACTGAATCACAGATAACACGCGATTCATTTCACCGACAAAATGAGCATGTCTGCAATTAAACTGTGCAACAGAAAATTCAATAATTTAGACAGTCCCTCAATGATCATGTGAACTATGTCCTACTTTCAATCAAATGTTGACATGTAAATTATGGCCGGTGTTCCTTGTCCCTTGCAAGCAATTGACTTCAAGTTTTCTCTACTGAAATTTCACTCAATCAAAGTTCGACATCCATCCATCCATTTTCAGATCCGCTTATCCTCAAAAGGGTCAAAAGGGCCTATCCCAGCCGTCTTCGGACAGTAGGCGGGGGACACCCTGAACCGGTTGCCAAGTAGAGGAAAAAGTCTAAAATCTTCATTCAAGCTATTTTCCCCTTTTTCTCAATCGCTCTGTCCTCATCGGACGACATAAAAGGGTTTGTTTACTCGCGGTGCAACAGGATGTCACTTAAGCTTTTGTCACCCTGAACTACACGCGACGTCTTGGCGAAGAGTTCAACTGAAACCTTTTGCGTCAAGCAACTTGAATTGCTTTGAGATATGCTTTGCAAATAAAAATACCCCCAAAACAGTACCGCAAACAAAAAACTCTTTGTCATCAAATTCTAACCAAGGGGTTCCCTTCGGAGAGTTCTGAGTTCGATTGGTTTCCCACCTGGGTTCTGCACCACGACCATCAGCAGGTTGGATGGTGACAGCTTCTTGTGAACGTTTTTCTGGAAAACGGACACCCGGCACTGGTAGCTCCCTGCCTCCCTGTGGCTGGCACCATTGATAAGAAGGTAGTAAATCCTCTCACTGGGTCTGTTGTCAACCTTGAGGTGGTAGCGTTGCTGCTTTCCAGACCAGCTGACGGCACCGTCATAGTACATCGTCAGGATGTTGTCTAAGGTCGACGTGCCCCGCTGCAGACTCCAGGAGAGCGTTATGGCGAGATGTGGCCCTTTGACACGGCACATCAATTCCACATTGTCTCCCACAGTCACAACGCTCTTGCGACTGATCAAATTCACGCTCACAAAAGAATCTGGAACACAAAATTTTCGGGGCTGGTAAGAATGGCAAGTCGTGCATTCTATGATAATCTTGGTGGGCAAGCCAAGCATTTGATGTTGGGAAATTCACCAAGCATACACGTTGTTCTGGACTTCATCGGGCATATAGAAGCTACAATGTGTTGAAAACTAACCCAAAGGGGCCACCGTCAACTGGGTCGTGGCTGATTGGCTGTTGGTCTTGCTGTGACTGTTCCATTCAAACACCACACACCGGTACATGCCCGAAGCATCCGGCGTGATCTCATCAAGCTCCAGGACGAAGATGTCGTCCGCAGGTCGCGTAGCCCTGACCAGATTTAAGACCTCGACAGCGGCCGTCTCCATGACACCGTCTTGACTTAGACCGATGAGAGCGGTGAACGCGGGTTTCTGCGCTACGTTGCGCTGCCAGCTGACGGAGAGCTGGCCCTTGAAGCCGTGCACTTTGCAGGTCAGCTTCAACGTGTCGCCTTCGTTGACATGCACGGTGTTTTGCATTTCGACTAAGAGTCCACTGGCTGTAATGAGAAGAGATATAACGTGTGAATCCACTGTAATCGCATTTTGGCAATTTTCTTCTCCTGCAAACTGCAGTTTACGTTGAGAAAAACAAGCTTTTTTGAAACTTCACCCAGGTGGAAAACTGTTTTGATCTTCTTTTTCCTAAGCCTTTTTCCACTTAACCGCCGGGTCAGCTGCCCTTCTTTTTATCTTCCAGGATATCCTTTTATCCAAGATATTTGACTCAGACGTCTTAATTTATATTTTTGACAAGGATGTTCTCACTGCATGTCCTTCCTGACATCAACCACAGAAAAAAAGCATGGGCCCAGCCTTTATTTATCCAAGACAACTTTCTCTCAGGGCAGCTAGTTTGTTGTCTGTGCCACGATAGCCCAGCAGATCGCTCAGCTTTATTCCGCTGACAAACCGCCTGTCGCAGTGTGGGTATAATCGGTCATTAGTGTGCATTTTGTAAGCGGTTAGACACTTCCAAACGGCACACATGACCTTCCCACAGTGTCGGGATGCATTTTAACATCATACCAAGGAGCAAGGAAGTGCTCTTGACCACTTCTGTTTATGAAATAAACAATGAACATTTAAAACCGGCGCTGCAGATGTAAATGCGTGGCTTGGCACAATGAACACATTTTCTCTTTTTCGAGGAACAGTCTAATACAGGGGTGTCAAACTCATTTCCCATGGTGGGCCAAATACGGCCTCGGTAGATGTCAAGTGGGCCGGACCATTAAAATGATACCATACTTTGCTATAAATAACCAAAACAATATGTCTTTCCTTTGTTTTGGTATAAAGAAGCACAAGAACATTAGGAAAATGTTGAAATTTAATGAACATATCTTTTACAAAACATTTCAGGGAGCACCTTACATTTCCTTCGACAAATGTGCAATTTAGTTTTATCATTCACAAATATGCATTGCAACTGATACCACTGATTGTACAAACTTTAACAAGTAATTGGTATTGAAAAATATAGAGATGCACTTTAAGATGAAACGAGATTTATAAAGAAAGGAAGTTTTAAACCATTTACACGTACATATAAAATCTAAATGTAATCCCTGCCTACACCTTCCAAACTCAGGAGAGTGCTATTAAATGTGTAAATGTCAGAGTGCTATTGATAGCGTCTGCTGCCATGGGTCTGTCTCAGTGACGGACTGAGGCTGCTGTTGTCTTCTTCTCTGATCAAAACAGTGTCCCCTTGCGGATACTCAATGAATTGCACCTTATTAAAAATATTAATTCTGTGTCTTTTATGCATTTTTTTCACTTTTAAATTATCCTGCGGGCCTGATTGAACCTCCTTGCGGGCCGGTTCCGGCCCGCGGGCCGTATGTTTGACACCCCTGGTCTAATAGCATTGAGGATGAGGGGTGGCAGCGACCCAACAGATTGAGTAGATAAGAGCTACAGGGAAAAGACTGGCTATCTTTTTCACAGCTTTTTCCCCAACAAACCGCCTTGTATGTAAGGATCATGATGCATGATGAGTGTGTGTGTTGTTGTGTTTTCTGCAACTGTTACTGATTGGCATTAAAGTTTGGGTCGTAGCTTATTGCTTTGACATGTAATGGACAGCCAGCAAAAACCATTGTAGGTACAACCATGCACATGTGGACGTAGTTGGATATATGTTAATAACGCAACCTGAAGTTGAGACGCTAACGAGCAGGGAGCTGGAGTCTTGGGGTTCGCCTTGCACCAAGTCGCCTTGCTGTCCTCTTTGTTGGGGCCACACTCGGCACGCATACGCGCCCTGGTCTTCAGTGCTGACAGGCTGCAAAATAAAACGGTAATCTCTCTCCCCAATCCTGCTGGTCCTGAGCTCTCCTTGCTTCTCTCGCTGGTTGTACTCAGGCCGCACAGACAGAACGCCCGTGGGGCCTATTCGGGCCAGCTCGACACCTGCCTGGAGCCAGGCTACGGAGAAAAACTTTTCCTCCAGCTTTTGTGTGTCAATATTGCATGTTAACAGCAGCTCCTGCCCTTCCTGCAGAGATGTCTGCTGCGCCGACAGTCTCACCACCACAGAGACCTTGTCTGGCACAAGCTCTGTACAGCCACATAAAAGGGAAAAAGTAAAGAAAAAAGAAAAAAAAATGAGCATAGCGACATAAACAACACACCACACATCCTGTCAGGAAGCCACCACAGAAGAGGAAGAGCAAAATTATATGTCAGCTCATCCAGCATGTCGAACAGATGGTGTGCTTAAGCAGCGTCTCACCTATAGCTCACTCACTGAGACTGAAGGTGTGCCTCACAGATCCACCCCAGCTCCATTTCTTTTCACCATTTACATAAATCAATATTCTGCAAATGTGTTTACCTTTTTTCATGTGTTGCATCTTCAACTTGCCTTTGATACTCTCCAACCACGTTTTTAATATTTCAAAGTGGTTTTGAATGCTAGCAAAGCAAAAGCTGTCATTTTCTGACGACATTATACTCTAGATCGTTATCGCATTTTTTTTTTCATGAATTTTATTTTGCCGCTAGATAGTAGGCATGTAAACTCAGATTTGAAACAAAAAGTCTTGGGAAAAACTGACCAGTCAATTCAAACAATTCTATCTATTGATGTATCTGGTAAAAATTGATTTCATGTTATCTTTACCCACCATCAAGCGATTTTCACTGCCATTTCACAGAACGCCACTGATTTCATGGATTACATAGATTACATTATAGATTTATCATATCGGCATGACTGCTGTAATTATGTTTAAAAATAATAAAGAAATAACAAGTGAGCTTTATTTTCACCTATATTTGATCAACAAAATGTAAATAAATGTCCATGCCTACTTTTGATTGTCAAAAAAAACAAAAAATGACGTACAAATTCAAGATACAATCTTATTCACAGGGCAACATGATTTGCTGAGTTTTAGGGTTTCAATTCCAGCTCTGGCCATCCTGTGTGGTGTTTGCATTTTCCTCGGCTTTCACCAGGCACTCCATCTTCAACCCACATCCTCAAAACATGCACACTAGGTTAACTGAAGACTCTAAAGGTGTGAAACTCATGGCCTGAGGGCCCATATTATGTAGCCTGCAAAAGCAAATTATATGCATCAACTTCAACAATCTTTGGTAAAATCGGTCTCAAAATTGGAAAACATCATGTGCAATAAATAGTAATGCTGAGATTTGGCAAGATTTTTTTTGTTACCCTTTTTATCGTAACTAAAACAATAGTTGAACAGATTGATTCAGACCTTTGATGGCAAAACAAGTACAGTAATTCATCAATTTATCAATTTAATGGTTATATCGCTGGCGTAGGGACGAAACCTCCATTATCACAATTTGGTAATTTTCATTTGTTTTCACAAATCTATACTCTTGGTCAGTCTCCATGTGTAGGTGCTACTGTATTTATAAAAAAATACTGACTCATTTAAAGTGTTCAAAATGGCTGGCTAACTTTGACGATGCAATGTCAAAGGTTGATGACAGGATCTCCTAAAAAGTGAAAAGTTCCTGACCTCTGCCTTTCACAGCTAGCGTGGTCTCCTCTGTAGTCTTCTGTGTAAGCGAGTACCAGGACAGATCGGGATCCTCGATCCACTCTTGAGCGTGGCAGTAGATCCGCCCCGCATCCGACGGCTCCAACCGATCCATCGTCAGCCTGTACGTGGCCTCTCCGACTTTATCCAGTCTTATGAGGCCGGCTTGGTAGCGCCCTTGAAATTCCGGGCCTGGCCTTACCGTGAAGTCTCTGTCCAAAGAGATGATGAGCTGTGTGTCGTCATCATCACCCTCCTTGCGGAGATGCCAGGCAATAGACAGATGGGTGTGCTGGATGGTGTTGCTGGAAGCTTGGCATGTTAAAGTGAGCGTTTCACCCTGGTTATAGCGCAGCGAGGTGGAGGTGGCTGATGAAACACTCAGGGAATCGTCAATCACTGCGGCGACAAGAGGTTACTGAAGCACCATCGTACCGGCAATGTCAGTTTTGGATAAATGGCAACTGATTACCTTTCACGGTAGTTATCACACTGTAGAGTCCATCATAACTATATTCGGGGTTGATCACAGCGCAGTCGTATTCCCCTTCATCATCTTTCTGGAGACTTTTTATCTCAAAAAGGACGGAGTTGGACGTTACATGTGTCAAGGTGATGTCGTTGCCTCTATTGCGGTACACTGCATAACCAAAGGTCGGGTCTTCGGTGCTAATGATGTTCAGGACCATTTGCTTCGCGGGCTTGGTGACGCGGAATTCAAATTCTTTCCTGGAGTCGACATTGGTGAATCCGCTCACGTTGCAGGAAATGAAGAGCCGAGAGCCTGCCACACGGTACAGAGGTCCAGCCTGGATCTCAGTCAGCACTCTGGCATTTCCTGAGTATTGCATAGGAATTAAAACAAACAAAAAAAATGTTCAATTAAAAAAATTGTACAGTGAATCTCTTCTTATTCGCGGTTTGCTAATCGCAAAATCACCCCCAACACTGGCTAACCTGAAAATAGAAATTACTGTCAATGAAGTATGGTGAGGTCATACATCTGCACTGCGGTACTAAAATCGTTGCGTGTTAGGAATAATGGTCGAAGATGATATTGAAATTGTTTTGGGGGATCATATTTTATGCTGTATTTATGATTTAAAATATCAATAAAGGTGACTAAAAACATTTTCGGGGAGAAGCGCACTTACTCGCGTCAGGGCTCAGTCTCTATCGCCCTCATTCCCTTCCTTAAAAAAAAAAAACGTACATATATATTTATATTACATTATATTTTCTGTTTTTGATGTAACGTACATAATGCTTATAAATGTGAGACAACAAATATCTAAAACAAAATAATATGGCAAAAATATTTTTGTGGATTTTGTTATAAGGATTAATGAACATCTAGTTCCCAAAAATTAGATTTTTCTGGCTATTCCTTGATGGGTCAGGCATTAAAGGGTGAAAACCTGTTGCTAACAAAGGTTTTAGAGTAAACAGTCGATTATGAAAATCTGTTTTTGAGCCCTTTGACAAAACACTCAATTTAAAAAAAAACTGGATCATATCTCGTTTTTGTTTTCTCTTTTTATAAAATAGAAAATATATACTAGTCTTCTTTTAAAAATAATATACATGAGAGTTTGTTCATCATTTAAATCATTTTCTTTAGTTTTATCTTTACGATCCATCACGGGAGACCTTTACAACAGCAGCAATTAAATGTATGACATACCGAGGAGCAAAAGAGTTGCCATACACAGGAGCAAACAAGGAATCCATAAGTGCAAAATGAAATTCAGCATCCTGAATCAGCTCGTTGACTGTGTCAATGCAAAGAATATTGTGTGTGTGCATGTGTTTGAATGTGTTCTCACGTGAATTTAAGTGGCTTGTGTTTCCTGTGAGCAATCAAGAGGAAGTGCGAAATACTGTATATCCTGCACGTAGATTGATTTACCGCGGTACACAATTAAGTCTGATTGTCACTCATGGTTAAATGCCCCTGTGTTATTTTCAGCGGGGGTATTTGGGGCTTATAATACTGAGATAAAATAAGTGTCTAATGTCCCACTATCTTGTCATTAGTAATAGTTTGGAAAAAAATATTACATTGCCTCAGTGAAGATGTGGTAAAAGGTGAATGGAGCCCATCTATTAAAAAAAAAAAAAAAAAAAAAAAGTTTTATTTGTCTCATTGGCATACATTTTTCAAATCATATTTTTATGATCACTTCCATAATCTGGAGTAAAGACACATCAAATGATTCACGAAGGTTAAAGTTTAACGAAAACAAAACCAACGATAAAATAATATATAGCCTCTTTCTAATGACAACACTGACACCTAGTGGGGAAAGAGGTCAATAGCACTACCATCGATCATGTCCCTCAAGGAGTAAGTAACACGCGTTTATAATAGATGAATACAGTATAGATGATCCAAAATCGCGATTGGATATGAATAAAATAAGGACTTTCTTAAAATAAAAATGGAAGAAGTGATTGTAACCTGCACCTTTTTTTCTTTCTTTCTTTCCTGGTAATGACCAACATACTATGGTCTTTATTTTAACATCCATCCATCCATCCATCTATCTATAAAGGCGGCACGGGAGACAACTGGCTATCGTGTCCACCTCACAGTGCAGAGGTGCAGGGTTGGATTCCAGCTCTGGCCTCCCTGTGTGGCGTTTGCATGTTCTCTCCCTGCCTGCGTGGGTTTTCTCAGGGTATTCCGGTTTCCTCCCACATTCCAAAAACATGCATGACAGTATGATTGAACACTAGTCTAAATTGTCCCTAGGTATGAGTGTGATCTCATAATTTAATGTATTAATTTAAAATGTAACACAATTGCACTTATTATAAACACAAATTTACAAAACTATTGCAGTTGCAAAATAAAACATATATCATTGTAAACGTTAGATCCATGACTTTTCAATATATTCATGAAGTGTTTGCCGTCGTGTTTTGATCGTACTTGAAAGTTCTCTTGAGTGTCTCTGATACTGTGGCCCCATTTGTGTTCAACAAAGTAGGGGGAATTTGTTCAGTCTCAATTCAGGAAGTGTCTAAAAACAAATGTTGCTACATCTGTAAGTTGACGACCGAACAGAAATAGGAACTTTGCAAAGCAGCTGCAGAAGGGCACTTGCATGGAAACCGCACGGGTATATTTCGCACATCTTTTTTGAAGCAGTGCGGGTGCAGAGGAGCTTGTGAAGATGAGCGACTCACTTGAGTGGACGACAGAGTGCCCCTTGTCTCTCGTCGGGGATGACCCGTGCCCAGAGAGGGAGAGTGGCACAGAGTACCACTGGGAAGATGGAGGCCTGCCCGCGGCGCTGCAGAGAGGCATGGAGGACTTGCAAATTAACCTTGAGCTGATCGACGTGGTCGTGTGTGTTCAAGGACATGAGTTCCCTTGCCACAGAGCCATCCTTGCTGCGGCCAGTCAATACTTCAGGTAAAAAAAAAAAAAAAAAAAATTAAAGCTGCAAGGAATAATGACGAGGCCCTCGGACTTTCTGTTTTCATGATGAATCATTGAAATGAGTGTTAAACTTAAGCTCCACACTCCAAGACCTGGTTCTGATTGGCTAGCTTCCCAAACGCCATGTTTATAATTGTCTTTGGGAATCTGATTTGACTGACTGTAATCCAGTGAGTTTTTGAGTCTTAGAAAGGCCTCAAAAAGATAAATTGATTTGGTCAAACAAACCACAAGGACAAAGAAGTACTTGCTCATGTATTAATGAGAATGACTTGATGGGTTTTGCTGTGCTCAGGGCCATGTTTTGCAGTGGTTTGAGGGAGAGTCACGAAGCAAAGGTGGAAATGAAAGGACTGGGCAGTGAGACCATGCAAACTCTCCTGCAATATACGTACACCAGCCAGGCCATCCTCACTCAGTCAAACGTGCATGATGTACTGGAAGCAGCCAGTCAGTTCCAGGTAAGCGTTCCCTGAAAAAAAGGAACCAAAAGTATAATGTCACTGGCCACTTTATTCGGAACTTTCACACGCAATCTATTGCGAGCCTCTGCAGGAGCTGGATAATACTGTATAAAAATTTTAACCAAGGAAACAAAATGTTGGCAGGTGGGTCAAAAGTAGGTGCAGTGGTGCCTTAAAGTAGAAGTGGCGTGACAGTTTTTTCAAGATCGGATTTTTGTGTATTTATTTTTTGCCAGCCCCCACATTTTCTTTACAGTAATATGTTCTATGTCCAATCCACCAGTCTAAACACAGAATTCTGATTAATATTGCATTTGTGGTTTTTAGCCACCTCAGGGGACGGCCATTTTGCTGCATTCTGTCAACTGAAAATGACATCCTGGTCACTCAGCCCTCAGGTCACGACCAATTACGTCTCATTCGTTTTCTCCAGCAACCGCTTGACAAAATAAAACTGAGTAAATTCAACAAAAAACGATTTCAGTGTATTTAGTGCAAAATTCATGTGCAAAATTGTTCATCCTTCCTAAAATTGCTGTACGTATGTTTTTTCTTGTAGTTCCTGCGTGTGGTGGATGCATGTGTTGGTTACCTGAGCAGATCCCTCACCTCGGATACTTGCATTGGCGTTTTAAACCTGGCGGATCGGTACGCCCTTCCCACTCTGAAGACCAAGGCTCAGGACTACATCGTCTCTCACTTTTCCCAGGTAGTTAGGCAGCAGGACTTTTTGGATGTGGCGGCCGAGTCACTGGAGATCATCCTGCAGCGGGACGATCTGGACGTGAGATACGAGGAGTGTGTTTTCGAGGGTCTCATGCGCTGGGTGCGTGCTGAGCAGGAAGAGCGACGCCACTTACTGGCCAGGTTGCTTTCGCACGTGCGACTGCCGTTGTTGGAGCCGGCGTACTTTGTGGACAAGGTGGAAGGAGATGATCTGATCCGCAGCTGCGGCGAGAGTTTTCCTCTGCTGCAGGAGGCCCGAATCTTTCACCTCTCTGGAAGGGAGGTTGGTATCAGCACATGGACTAAAGCATGGGTGTCTAAACTTTCTCTTCCAAGGCTGCATACAGAAAATTCAAAGTTGTACATGTACATTTAATGATGAAACACCGAAAAAGACAGAACTAATTTGCAATAATCGCAGGTGTTTTTCCATCGGTGATGAAACAATACATAGCCTACATGTGAATGTTTTTATATGTTCTGAACCAAGAACCAAAACATGAGTAATGTGTACAGAGATGTTTTTGGTGGTGCAAAAAAAAAATGGTGATATATGTGCTCAGATTTAAAAAAAAAAGAGAAAAAGAAATGGAAAAATAGGCCATGAGAATGATTTCAATGCCACAAAGATGGATTTCGATCTTAATATTTCGTCAATTGGGTTCCAGACGCATAGGTTTGGTAGCGAGCATTATTAAATAGTGTAAGGCACCACAATCAGTCTGGACCATGACAAAAATTGATCAAAATATCCATCAGTTAAATTGTATCAATGACAAATGTGATGCACTATAGTAATGGACTTCTCGTATTACATCCGACACGGAAGATGTGACTTCATTTCTCATATTTGTCCGACCGCATTATTTTCAACTCATTAATGTCCACATGGAAGAGTACACTTGGAACAAATTAACTTCAGCAGTCATTTTGATAGAATAACCCGTCACTTTAAATTTTCTTCCCCCAAAAATCTACTTCCAATTAAAAATGGAAAGAATATAAACATCCTTGTTTTGTGCTATAGGTGGTTTCAGAACGAACCAAACCGCGCATGCGGCACTTCCTGTCAGAGGTGTTCCTCATCATCGGCGGCCGCACCAAAGACGACCGCTTCATTTCCACTGTCACATGTTTGGACCCACTCAGACGCAGTAGGCTCGAGGTTTCGAGGCTACCGGGCACAGGCATGGAGGTGGAGGCCCAGAACAGGAAATGGGTGGAATTTGCTTGCACTGCCTTTCGCAATGAACTTTATATATCTGGTGAGAGTGTATTTTTTTTCTTTACCACTGCCACCACACACTGGTAGCACAATATGTATATACACACACACACACACACACACACACACACACACAAAGAGCCTCATGCACACACACACACACACCATTCAAAATTTCTCCTGGGTGAATGGCAATAAGTTCTCACAGACACACTCCAACCGTCGGAGGAGTATATAGGAGGAGAAAAAAAAACATTCTGAGTAAAAGGAAAATGTTTCTTGAATGCTATTCTAGGAGGTAAAGAGACCCAAACAGATGTTTGGAAATACAACGGAGCTCTTGACAAGTGGATCCAGATCGAGTCTCTGACGACCGGCCGATGGAGGCACAAGATGGCCGTCCAAGGGGGGCGGGTGTACGCACTGGGTGGGTTCGATGGCGTGCGTAGGCTCGATTCCGTAGAGGCTTATGACCCTTTTCACAACCGCTGGACACAGGTAAGTAAGTATGCACCCAGATTCACTGTCATATTGCCTCAAGAGAGCAAGGTTATACAATCCTGGCCCATGTATCTCATGAAAAAAAAGAACCATTATCAGCTAGCTGGCTTTGTTGTAATTTTACTTTTCATCCAAATAAATTGAAAGTTGACCAGTGTCACGGAGGACCTTTGAAATTCCACTTATAAATGCTTTACATTAAATAGCGTGACATCGCTTTTCACATGTTTCTGCTGCCTTATTGGTGCAGGTGACGCCACTCACAGTGGGTGTGAGCTCCTTTGCTGCCACGGGCTTCGACAAGTGGATCTTCGTTATTGGCGGTGGGCCCAACGGAAAGCTGGCGACCAATGTGGTTCAATGCTGGGAACCCGGAACCGACTTGTGGGAGCTGCGGGCGCCAATTCCCATTGAAACAAAGTGCACTAATGCTGTCAGCTTCAAGAAATGCATCTATGTAGTTGGCAAGTTTCGATCCTAAATATAAACGGTAGACCGCTGCAATTCACATGGGATAGCAACCAAACCATTTGGTCCATACCCTTTAAATCTTTTCCAGAAACATCTATGTAAGCAGTTTCAACTGTAAATATACCCCAAATAATGATCCCAAAACTCTTTAATATAAGTTCAAACTCATCTTACAACATTCCCCTGAAAAATAAATGTCTTGCAAATGTCTCACGTGTGAAAAACATACATATACAGCAAACACTCTCCATAACCTCCGCTAACAACCCTGGCTAAACTGTGTTCCTCCCTGACATCTAAAGCGCGAAAGAGCTTAGAACAACATCAACTATGACATACTTCCTTGTCACCAATTATTACTTTTCCATTGGCCAGGACTTTGGCACAATGTTGTGGCATATTAGAAAAAACAAAAATATGCGGATAGGTGAGTTTTTTAAGGCACCTGAGTATAGGTTCCACAGAAAAAGTGAGTTGGTTTAGTTGTGCATATTGAACCACCAATAGGCAGGGGTTCAATCAGTAGGGTCTGAGGCTAGCAAAAATCTCTGAGTAATTGACACCCACCCAAAAAGGTTTATATAATTGCCTCACAAGATGGCATCAATGCACTACTTTTGTTTTTGACAAGGCTTTGGTCTTTCTAGTAAAATCTCCTCCCCTCACTTCAACATACCATACCGTGCCACCAAGATACCAACGGACATTATGGAAAGACCACAAAATCAACATGTAGGTTCATTTCTCAGCCATGTTTTATTGCCGCCCGTCCACTTTCAGCAAGCTTAGGCTCCATCTAACCTGCAACCCAAAGGAGGGCTTACAACAGAAGATGGCTTGAGCACAAAATTCATTGTGCCTAAATTGAAATTCAACAAAATGTGCTGCTTCCAATAGATGACGATAGAAAATACAATGCACTCAATCTATGGTGACATCATCCTCTTTGTCCCCACAGGTGGGGCCATGCACACCATGTATTGCTACACCCCTGAGTCAGACTCCTGGTCCGGTGTGATCCTTCTGGGTCAAAGGGCGAGCTGTGCCATCGCTGCCTGCAACAACAAACTCTTCATCACAGGAGGCCGCAATAACAAGAACCATGTCATCTCCACGGTCATGTGCTGGGATGATGATGATGGCGTTTTGTCAGAAGAATGCGCCTTGCCCATGGGCGTTTCTCACCACGGCAGTGTAACACTGTTGAAGTCCTACACACACATGCAAAAGGTAGCACCGGTGACCGACTGCCAAAGAATTTGAAAAGAACGCTATCGTGTGTCTGCTGAGAGGCATGCATTATTACGAGTGACCATCATTACAGGTTACAGGTTTTCTAACTTAAATTGAGACAAGGCAAATACATTCCTGTAGAAGAAAAAAAAAAATGCCCCAACGAGAATTGACGGTTAGATTGCTGTATGCTCTATTTGTATATGTGCCGCTGCATGTGTGTAATTTTTGTTAGCCAGTGTTTTGCATCTGGGGTAGGGAACTCCGGTTCCTCGAGAGCCATATCCTGCCTGTTTTAGATCCCACCCTACTCCAACACACCTGATTCAATTGATCATGATCTTGTTTCAGGATTCTCCATAGCTTGCTGATGAGCCGATTATTTGAATCAATTCGTGTTACTTTTATGGTAAATGGTACCTGGGACTGACGAATAAAGAGCTTGAAAAAAGTGAGCTGTGCGTCTTATTTGGAAAAAAACTGTGTGAGAAAAGGAACAGACTTATTTGAAACTGAGAGCTACTTCTTCGGTAGTGACGAATACAAAGTCAGTATGATATACGGTTCTAAAATAACACATTTGCCTTTTATTGTTATTTGTTCTGTTAATGGTAGCTTAATTCAAATTCCACAACTACAAAAAGAAACAGAAAAAAACCTCTCTCTCCACAAATCAAAAATTAAGCAAAGAAATGATCCATTCATTTTCTGATCGACTTATCCTCACGAGGGTTACGGGTGTGCTGGAGCTGATCCCAGCCATTTTCGGCCAGTAGGCAGGGTACACCCTAAAGTGGTTGGCATTGGTAGATTTGAAATTGTAAATATGGCTGTAAAACAATGTATCTCACTGTAAATAATGTATTTTTTGAACTTGGTGGTCTGTCTGTCTCTTTTGAATGGTGAGAATTGAGTACAGTAGTTTTACTTTATTTTCAGTGTAACTTAATTAACTTTAATGTAACTTGCTTTTTACTCTGTTCAAACGACCAGGATATTTCTAATGCAGTGTATTAAAAGAATAAATTCACGCAAACTGGTGTTCGGGAAAATCCATGCAAAATACTGTATCCAAAAAGGACCAAACTGTAATGATATTCTTTGGCAGTAGGGAGCAGTGTTTATTAGTTTATTGCCAAGCCTAACATGTACAGTGTACAGTATAACCGAAAATAATGTGATCAATTCTTCCATTAAGCAACAACAATATATATCTGTAAATAAAGCAACTTCAGTCATCCTCTCCTCGTGTTTTAGTGGTCCTTTACAGTGACATTTACCAACGCTACCCACCATGAAGAATGACGTCAGCTTCCTGGCAGAATCTTCAAAATAACACCAATATGTGTAAACGTTCAATTACAAATCCCTGTCGTGGAGGGAATAAACTTGCGTTCGCAAGTATTTCCATGATGGTATATTTAGCTCACCTCTGGACTACATTTGGCGTTTTTTGGGAGGAGTCGTTAACGCTCCGATAGTTGCTCTAATTGTGAAAATTGACTGCGTCTGGAATTCAGGTGTCGCATTACCTGGGATAGACAGTTAAAAAAAATACACCTAGCTCTTTTGAATTCAAGTTTAAGGGTTTTGTTCGCGACGATAAAGAAAAAAATAAACATAGAATTACTATGAAATAGTCACGTTCGAGTGGGAACGGTGAAAGTTCATCGCGTGTTTACTCATGGCCCAACAACGCTTTCTGGTTTATTTCATGAGTGCCTACGGTTTAGGTAAGTAAGTTTCGTCGTGATTTATGATAATCGAGTTGGAAAATTAACACGGTATTACTGTATTACTGATGAAGTGTGTTAAACTTTTGTTGAACAAACAAGTGTTTTTAGTGTAAGGTGTTGGCAAAATGTTGCCTGCCTTCATTAATATGTAATACGTAACTGGTCCAAAGTAATAGTACACTAGTTCACCACGACTGTTTATGACAGTCAATGCTTCATTGCTCAAAATTGTCCATATAGTTTTAAATAATGGGCCAAAAAACATAACATCGACCTCTTTAAATAATTTTGACAAGACATGTTTTGTTGTTTTCTGCAAAAAAAAAAAAATGGACTCGGACCATTATTTTAGGTGGGTGACGATATGTATTTCCTGACAGGGGTCTTGAATAATGGCAAAAACTAAAATCAAGAACAAAGAAAATGGAATCTAAAGCAGTATTGGTTAGGTATCAGAGGAAGGAAGGCAGAACTGTTGTTTTAGGCAAAGGAAGCAAGAGCGCAAAATATGGTTCAGAGAGTTAAGCAAAGAAGTGGGGAACTAAGGAATTGAGGCAGAAAGGTAGGTTGGAAGGAAGGAAAGAAGAAATAAGCAGGCCTTTATTCAATAGAATGTTTTGAAGGAAGGCAGAAAAGCTTCAGTTTTTGGCGACTGGGTGTAAGGATGCATGAATAGAAAACAGGTGTGATGGAGGCAAGAAAGGAACGGAGGAAGGCAAAAAAGTAGGCTTCCGTAGCTGTAACCAAAGGAGGGAAGAAAGGCAGTTAGGAAAGAAAAGGTGCCAGGAAATATCAGGTCTTTCAAGAAAGACGAAATGGGTCAGAAAAGAAGGAGGGAAGGTGGGAACAAAAGCGCAAAAAGTAGTTTAGCAAATGATGAATCAATAGTAAGGCTTCAACAATAAAAAAGTAAGGAAGTCAGAAAGGAAAAGATGCCAGGAAAGAAAATGTAAATGTAATAAAATGAATTACTTTTCATGTGGTTTCTTTCAGATATTTATTTTTCAACTCTTTTCCCAGTTTCTGCACAGGTTCCAAATTATGCACTCAAAGGTCAAGAGATCAACTTGGTGCCGTCCATTTTTGGACAACCTGATGAAATTCTCTGGACACACAACAACAAGAAAGTGGTTTTGTTTGACGGCATGGAGGAGTTTGTCTTCCCTCCATATGAGAACAGGCTCACTCTGGATTGGGCCTCAGCAGAACTCGCAATCAAAGACGCCACATACGAAGACAGTGGAGACTATGAACTGGAATTGGACGTATACAAGCAGTTGCATCGTTCCAAGTATAAATGGGAGGTTATAGGTCAGTTTACTAACATGCGCATTTAAAACAAAAAATTGGAACGAAATGTCAATTTCATCTTGGTGAATGAATATTTTAGGGCTGAAGCAATTAAATTGATTACCAAAAAAAGTCTTTGCAGAGAAGCTTCGCGGTGATCTTTTTTTTTTCCACACGGAGTAATGGTACTGCAGACTCACCCAACACTACGTGCGGAAAAAAACTGACGTGATAACGGTGAGCCAGGAGGAAAATCTGCATGAAAGACAGATTATCCAAAGTTTAGGATCATTTCACACTGAATAGTGGAGATAAATGCTAAATGTCTCCTGCAAAGCAGAACTAAATGCACCACAAACAGCACATAGTTGATTGACAACTCAACTCAATCAGAAAGCTACTGCAATCTTGCCAACCATCATGTCATGCCCCCCCCATTGGTCACGGATAATAGACACAGCCCCGGGTGCACTTTCAATTGCTCTATTGCACAAACGGTAACAAAATAATAACTAATAAGCACATTCATATGCAAGCTGCGACATGGTTCCTGTGGATCCTTAAAAATCTTAAAGACATTGAATCCATACATTCATTATCTGATCCGCTTATCCTCACAAGGGTCGCAGGGGGTGCCAGAGCCTCTGCCAACTGTCTTTGGACAGTAGGCGGGGTACACCCTCAACTGGTTGCCAGGCAATCGCAAGGCACACATAGACAAACAAGCATTTGCACCCACAATCACACCTATGGACAATTTAGAGTGTTCTATTAACCTGCCGTGCATGTTTTTGGAATGTGGGAGGAAACCGGAGTACCCGTAGAAACATGCAAACTCCACACAGGAAGCCGGAATCGAACCCTGTACCACTGCACTGTGAGGCGTTACGTGCTAAACCAGTCGATCACCGCGACTTCTGTCATTGAATCCCTGAATCTAAAAACAACATTTAACATTCATAAAGATAATTTACAAAGCGACTAGTAACACTGTGCAATCCGTATTATGGAGCCAACAAAAGTTGTCATTTCTGTATTGTAGCAACTTTGGATAACAGGCATCACTGGGAACATCGTGAAGTTGGTCTTTAATTGAATATCAAAATGGCATTTAAAAGTCTTGAATTTATCTTGCCTGAAGCTGTACTAATGCTGTGCTATGGTCGCAATTGACCACCAGGTACTTTGTATTAATTCACTTTCCGTTGTATGCATTTGTTTGCAGATAAAGTATCCAAACCGAGGATATCCTGTGAAATGGTCGACACATACCAGGCGACACTCGTGTGCTCAACAGATTCCAAACATCTTCGTTTAGTACAGTTCAAGTGGAGCTCAGGTGGAAAGAGGCAACCGGGTCCCAATTTAACAATTACCCTCAGCGATGAAGATGACGATCGAGTTTACCGTTGTGATGTGAGCAACCCTCTGACCAATGAAACGGCTACATTCACTGCCAAGGACTGCTTCCTGGGTAATTTGAATCACTTACGCAACTTAATGACTCATGCGGTCGTTGAACGTTGGGCGCTATTTTGACAACGCACAAACTGGAGGTTTGCATTTCTGTGCAGATAAAAAATCTGCTGCCCTACTTGCCATCATCCTTCCCGTCATTTTTGTCATCGCCTTCATTTTGCTCATGGTCTTGGGCTTTGTATTCCGCAGAAAACTTCGAGATACAGGTAGAAAAAAAACACAGAAGGTGACAAACACAAAAGTAACCTAAATAATGAAAATGTGAGCAGTTGTGTGCGCACGGTGCTGTTGTTCTTGTCTTACTGACAAAAATTGGTCCTTTTCTCTCTGTTCTTTCAGCGTGTTTTGAAAATACAAAGAAAGGGTTTTTTAAAAGACGGTGGAGCGCGACAGAAGGTATCTGATTCATCGACACTAAGACGCATGCAATGACTTCATCTTCGGTTTAATTCACAGTAAATTATTAGTACCGTAAATTACTTTGTTTGGGACTCGGGAGTGACTTAATTGCTTGGCTCCTGCTGGGCTCCATTTAAGTTTATGATGTCCGTACAAGTTTCAGGGTCCAGTCAAGGTGACGAGACCACATCCTTCTTGGGCGGATTCCCTACGCTTCCGTCCAATCAGAGGCTGCGCCCTTTGCTTCCAAGTGATTGGATTGATTCTGCTGATGGCAACGAAGAAAAGCACGATGCATTAAATGGTTAAGTCGATCATATTCTCCTTTATCCTCTGGCTTGCGTTCTTCTTTTCGGACTGCTTTTAATGAATTCATTTGTGTGTGTGTGTGTGTGTTTTAGGGTCAAACAAGGAGTTGACTGGGGATGAGGGTGTAGAGTCTGATGCAGCCACTGGCCTCACCACTTCCTCCAAAACACCTAATTCCCCTTTGACCTCTTCAGACTTGAACACTACAACTGAAAATGAGGATATCTCATCCCAGCAGATCTCTGGAGACACCTCAGGGGAAACTGAGAGTGAAGTTGACTCACCTGAAGTTAATAGGCCCGACTCTACGTCTACGGAGGAGAAAGCTCCACAAGAAGAAAAAGAAAGAGTTTCTGAGCAGGAGCCACTTTCAGACATTGCGCAAGGAGCGTTGGCGACTGGAGGTGAGGACCGGCAGGAATCAAGCACATCGGCCCCTGCGGGTGACACGCAGTCAGATAGTGAAGGTGATGAGGCCATCGCAGATGAGGAACAGAGTGAGACTGAATCCCACCAGTCCGCGACTGACGCACCACACGACGGGAACGCAAATACAACTGAAACTACAACTGAAAACAAATGTCCTATTTCAAATGAACTGAATGTCGAACAATAATGATCACACGCACAAATAACCACGAATGCTACTGTTATACAATTAAGAAATATCTAACACTGTGACTTTAATAATCTCAGCGCAGACTGTCATATTGGACTGATGTTATATAACTGCTTAAGACATGCTGACAATCAGAAAAATATGACTCAGAGGCCAAAGTTTATAAGCACTTAAGTTGTAAATAGTGTAACTATTTTTCTACAAAAATACCTGCCATGTGGAATGAATGGTAATTATTTCTTTCTCAAGTATTGTTTTGTCATTGACCAGCAACGACCTGACACCTGAGCTGCATCGGACGCTGTACACTTGAATTTTAAGAGGGAAGCCAAGTCAAGCATTCTTTTGATATTCTATATAACCCCACTAGTTTAAAAGGCAAAATGGACGCTCTCTGAGATGGATTAAAAACGGGAGGACTTTTCTGCTTAATTCATATTCGACAAATTCAATATGAACCAGAATACTGTGTTGAGACAAGTGTCGGCGCATAGAACAAATTATTGACATTTTTGACTTGACTTCCCCTTTAAGTTATGATTTGCATTTGTATGTAAGGCTGAAAATCCGTGTTTAAATATATTGTACAATTTAAAGTAATAAAACAAAATCTAAACAATTGTTACGGCTCTCTGAAGCTAAGATGCACTACGGTATTTGTGCTTAAGTATTTCAGCTTTCTTGCTAGCAACAATATTTTAATTTGAGAAACAAAGCCAGTACTGCTGGAAATTTCTGCTCACTGCTTTGCACGTTTTTTTCAAACTGTAATACTTCACCATACAGAGAACTTGTATTTCCTTGTTTTGGAATCATAAAGTTGTGATTGACTGCAAATTGCAGTTGGCTGGTAACCAGTTCAGGGTGCACCCCGCCTACTGCCTACCGGCATCGGCGCCAGCACGAACGCGACTCTCGTGAGAGTAAGCGGATCAGATTATGGATAAGATATAAAATCTATTTTATCTCGGAATCATAAACCTGTTATTCATTGCAAATTGCAGTACATGGAATTAATGTTTCAAAATATGTGAAGTCGTTGGTAAATAAATGGTCTGATTTATTGCTCAAATTATCTTGCTGATACTGTTTCAATTTGTTTATTATATTGGTGATGGCTAAAATAGTTTACATTCAAGTTAAAAATGAGTGGACTCAAATTTCCCCTCATCTTATTCTGATGATGAAAACTACATTTTCAAGCTAGGATCCGGTACTACGTTTGAGAATGAGTTGATCATAGAGGACAAAGAACATCAAAAATATATTCACATTTGAGGGACAGAAATCGTTCATAAAAATCAGATGAACAGTTTCTCCTACGTACATCATCACCCACCACGCTAAAAGCAGTAAGTACACATTTTCCGATTAAAAAAAAATCACTTAATATGGTTAAAAAATAGGTATACGGGACTAAATGTGTACCCTAGCCAAAATTATCCCAACGGAGCCAACAGTTGTAATAATATCCTTTGGTCATTAGAGGGCAGTCTTTATCAACTTGTAGTTATAAACAAATCTTGCTTAAAGGACAGCCTTGGCTTTATATTGTCTCTCATCTAAATGCCTTATAAGAGTGTGATATCAAGTCAGCAGTTATACTGAGCACCCAGACTTACAGTGGCTGTTGCCACTGACATGTTTCATCATGTCCTTCGTGATTCAACTGGAGGTGCAAGTCAGATCAACAACTTCACGCCTGTATCTGGAAATAAAGAAGCAGTGGGGTTGCACACACTGTCTGACAGGCCGCTGCAGATTCTGGAGGACAGGCCCGCCCCGTGTGGGAAAGTCACGCATGATTAGCTTAACCTTTGAGTCACAGAGGAGTCTGTGATCTGCTACCACCTGACCTGAGGGTTCAGGGCACGAGCGCGAAATGAACACTATCACGTTTCAGTGGTCACAACAAATACCAAGGGGATATTCGAGGATTGAATATTTGTGGCTCTTCAGTTGAGGGTCACAATGTGGTTCCACTGAAGCCCAGCAGGAAAGCTGGTACCGATTCCATCGGCAGAACCCTGCTTTGTCCAACATATCGTTACTGTCTGATGACAACCGTGTATTTTATATATGTATTTAAAAATCACATAAGCCCACTGTAGTGAGACTGAATGAGGACATGTACATTTAATAATGGCATTCCACAACAATTTCCACATGTCGAAATGTCATTAAAGTATTGTATTTACACTTTACATTGAAAACAGCATATTTAATGGATTAATGGCTAATCTACAGCAGACTTGAACCCTTTCATGCACCCTGTAACCTGATAACATGATAAGATGTCCACCGTAGTAACAGTTGTCCCTGAAAGGGTGAATGAATGCATTCCTTCAGCGTTTTGTCAGTCGTCCTGCATAAAGATTGTGATATTTGAGTAAAAGTTAAAGTCGGCTGGTAGGATTTCTTGAGTAAATACTTTTTAGTTCTTGGCTTTTTGCTGTTCTTAACTATAAAAACTAGGCATTGGAACTTTAAATAAAAGTATTCCAAAAAAGTGAGTGGTTAGAATTTTGGTTGTTTCATACATCCATTTTTTAATCCGCTTACCCTCACGAGGGTCGTGGGCATGCTGGAGCCTATCCCAGCTGTGTTCTGGCAGTAGGCAGGGGGCACGCTGAACTGGGTTGCCAGCCAATGGCAGGGCACACATAGATGAACAACCATTCACGCTCACAATCACACTTAGGGACAATTTAAAATGTTCCATTAACCTGCCGTGCATGTTTTTGGAATGTAGCAGGAAACCGGAGTACTTGGAGAAAACCATTGTCTTTATTTAATTTAATTTATTTGATTTACTTCAATGGTATGATTAACGATGTGTGTTGGCTCACGAGCTCATCAGCCAGGCCAAAGCATAACAGTAGTCTGTTGGCCTTAAGTCGGAAGAAGTGACATAGAGAGATGCATTACCGGTGCGTCCACATAAATTTGTCTCATTTTCATGATCTCTCCCATTCCAGTCTCCCCAGTGATGTTTTTTGGCATGAATAAAATGTGTCGCCTCACAGAATGCACATACAGTATTTAAATCTAAGACAACTCCAAAATACATTGCAGTAATGTACTCATATGGGGAATTTGCGCCCTCTTGTGGAGTTGTAATCTGTACTGCTCTTAAAATTGCCCTCACTCTTGGCTCAAGCAGAAATCCTTTCAAACGTCAAGTTAATAAAAAATCTCGACGTTAACCATATCTTAAGAATGTTTAACTGGCATCTACTACACAGTTGCGGAGCAGATATCATATCAGGACAGTGTAAATGATGGTGCATCAAGATAGGCCTGTCGGAAACAAAATGATACACAGACACACTCAAGTTAATTTTCGGTCTATTAAAACAAATTTAGGGGGCGAAGGGCTACTGTCCATGAAACAAAACAAATGGGTGAGCGACGTGGGGCAACCAATGGAAAGCCAACATGCCAGAGTAGCTTAAGCTAACACAAACATGTTTGTTTTCCCCTGTCATTTCAAGCTGTGTTTTGTATATTTTACCTTGTCACTGCTTTACAAATAAAAATAACTACAGTCTAAAAGGCAATTAAAACAGCACAGCTTGAATGCAGCCAGCTATAATTGATCAAAGACAAAGTAAATATAAGTACCGTTATTAGCGTCTCGTCATCACACGGCTATATAGTCGCAGTAGTGTAATAAGTCTTCTTGTGGTGGATCCAGTTAGAGGTTTCCCCCCGCTAATAGTTGTGGTCCCTAATGGCCTTGTTACACAAATATAGAGGAAGGAAATAAAGAAAAATGGGCCACCCTCCATAGCTATTTTATACCATTTTGATTAGCATCCTGCCTTATTTAAATTGCCTCCCCGGGGTGCTGACGTGAAATCGAACAATATACGTTGCCTAACTTCTCATTTATTTTTATGCGGCGTTCGGGCAGAGCCTTGGCACTGCTCCACCAAGGAAGCCCCCGGGAGGGCAGACCAGCGTTATTCAGGACAAATCAATGAATAACAACCGAATACTGTTCTTCCGCGGGGCCCCACTAACGTGCGACACGCCACGCAAGGCGCCCAACTGTAATTATGTGGATGAACTAATATGGTGGAGAAACTATACAAGGGAATAATATCCCTTTCTGAGTCAATAAAGGTCCTCTGTTAAAACACATGTCTCTGGGCTGCTGGAAAAATTGCAGACCAGTGTTTGTCATTTTCATCATTATAACAGTGCCTGTTGATTTTTTTTGTGACCCAGCGCATTGCGGACAGCAGGGGTGCCCAAACTTTTTTGACCTAAGATCTACTTTTCGATCAACCAACCTCCGGCGATCGACCCGTTACCGCGCACGCGCGCATACGCATACCATGATGAGCAACAGCCATAACGGCCCTTATGACGAATGGAAGCGCAAAAAAAGAGTTTGTGAAAAGGATTTCCTGCCTACCTTAGTGGGAGACCTGACGCGGATGCATGCGACACACTTTGCAGCCTGTTAACTATCGCAGCTCATGCGTACCATTTTAAAATGCTTTTCTTGGCGCTCCAGATTCCCATTCTTGGGCAGTGCCATCGGTGAAATGCAAATGAGACACCCTCTGAATGACAATAACAATAACAATAAAAGACATAGCGCAACAGCTCTGATCGCAAACTGCAATTACAGGTTGCTGAGCGCTAAAAACGTCCGGGGACGCAGGTCACGCAGCACCCTAGGTTAAAAGTGACCTGCTTTATTTTATTTTTTAGATACTTTTTGTGAAAGTGAGACTGGTAGGATGATTAGGGTGCAGTGTACATTAACAAAAAAGTATATTACTAACATGCACCGAGATACACAAATGTTTGTTTTTTTTCCTCTACACCCCTCGTGATCGACTTGGGACCAGTCCGAGAGTTACCGGTCGATCGCGATGGACGTAATGGGCAGCCCTGGTGTGCAGTATGCGTTTCCTCTTACATCCGATCATCAGATTAAGTAAATTCATGCACTGCCCAGATATGTTGACATGGAGACAAAAGACAGAATATAATGGAGGGTCGGAGGTAGAATGATTTAGGAAACCGAGTAAGATTTGCCGGAATATCGAAACAACATCCAGTACAAGATCTGTGTCAAAGGTTCTGCCTTTCCATACAGTAATACTGAGTTTTTACGTACAAAGTAAATGTGATATGCAATGATGTGAATAATGTACTCTGTTGTGTGGGCGGTGTGAATGTGAGTGTGAATGCTTTGTCTTTGTCTTCCGTGATTGACTGACGAATCCAGGAATGTAACACCCCTACTCCAAAGTGAGCTGATCAGTTTATGAAGATTATATGAAATGGTTGGATGGATTTCTGTAAGCCGCTATTCTGTTTCCAGATGTGTTCGAACAACCTCACACAACCGTACATTTTTCAGTGCATATATGGTTCATGCTTTGGGGGGGGGGGGGAGTCTCTGTGACAAGGCTACACACCTAATGTTGTGTCCTTGTTAGATATTTTATACAACAATGAGCAATTGGTTATTTTCTGCATCGGCCCAGCACCATGGCCAGACCGTTTCTGAGAAGCAGTGGGTTTCATTTTGTTTTGGGTTTTCTGTTGTCATGTTCTTGTGTCTCTGCAAGCCTCTCTCAGAAGTCTAGCTCCACACTTCAGAGGCTTGTCAGGTCTTCATTCGAACAAGCTGCCTGTCAACATGCCACTCTGACGTTCACTCGCACTTGCAGGGCCCAGCTCTATTCTCTTGTGACAGAATGGAAGAACACTTTTTTTTTTTTTTTTGGCGTACCGCCTGCCTCGAATTGTCATATGAGAAGGCAATGCATCCAAACCAATTCCAAACATGAAACTAAGTTACATTTATTCATCCGCCAATGGGCGTTATTTGACAATACACAGCACTTATATCATCAGTGATCAATTTCACAGATAACTTTTGAGAGGTGCAAAAACTGGGTACAGTTTTTGTCAAGAAGTCGGTGAGGGCCTTTTGTTCAACTACGTATTGCCATTTTTTGAAGGTAGACAAGCTTTAATGGTAAAGGTGGAGCTGCTGCTTGACCGAGGTGAGTCGAGCGGCCACAAATTGTACTCAAGTAAGAGTAC